AGAAAGCAGTCCTGACCCGGAGGCTCTGCGAAGCAAGCATTGTGGAGAAGTTTCTCTTCCCTCTCTCCTCCCCTCCTGTTTGTCCCCTTGCCCCCACCCCACCCCTCCATCCCCCGGCTGCCTCTCCCTCATGCCGCCAGCGTGGGATTTACACAGTCGCCCCCAGCATGGCATCTGTCCCCGTCAGGATCTCATTCTGGTTGGAATCCAGTCCAAAAAATTTGACCTTGAGTCCGTCGACCGGGTGGACCACGGGCACCAGGGTGATTTTGGGGAAAGTCCTGGTGGCGAGCTCGAAGCGACTGGGGCTGGCCAACTCGATGGCCAGCGCCTTGAGGAAGAGTTTGGCCAGGTGCTTGCCCAGACAGGTCCGTACGCCTCCTCCGAAGGGGAGGTAGTGGAACCTGCCATCCTTGTCTTCACTTCGACCCTGCCCGAAGCGCTCAGGGTCAAAGATGTCCACATCCTTGAAGACAGGGGCAGTGTCATGGGTGTCCCGGATGCTGTACATCACGCTCCAGCCTTTGGGGATTTGGAAACCCTGCAGAGGACAGGGAAGGGATGCAGAGAGAACCAGAGCAAGTCAGCCCTACTGTAAAGAGAGAGGTAGCAGGAAAACAAGATAAAGTCATTCTGCTTTTTCTGCTCTTTTCCCATTTTCTTTGGGTTTATGATGCAAACATGACACAGATTTAAAAGAAAACCAGAGAGTGCAGCGCATTGAGCTGGAAGATGGGAAGCCTGGGCTTATTCCTGCCTCTATCCCAGGGACCCGCCAGATGATCCGTTGCTATTTATTTGCTTTGCAGTCGCTGGCAGGAGTTTGCCTACCAGGAACCCTGTGGTGCTCAACTGCCACCGAGCAAAGGGAAGCAGCTTTTCTCCCGCTTGTGCCATGCCCCGTGCACTAGCCAGCCCTCCCCAGGGCTTTGCTCACACCCTGCCACAAGTCAATCCCACACGCCCAACACATAGGTCAGGGCCTGGACGATGAGAAATGGGGTGGATTTAGCATCCCTTGAGCATTTCAAAAGGTTTCCAACTCAAATCATTACATTAGTAGGATTTCCAGCGACAAGCCAGGTCTCAAGATTTTGTTTTGCTAGTAGGAAATTCCAGCCATTTCAGTGAGTAATCTGCTGGTCATCCAGCAGCCTGGAGATGCCCTTAGCAGTAAACCTTTCCTTTGTCACACCCCAGTTCTGATTTTGACATCAAACCTTGTCACAATTTGCTCTTTGAAGCATCATGCCTGTCTCCTCTTTGACAGCTCAAGCGCATCCCTTCCCTGCCATGGGCCAGATCCCACCACCCTCCTCTGAATCCAGAGCAATTCCACCTCTCATCAGTAGCAGGACCTAATTTTTCCTCCCTAAAGTCTCACCTAAGCCAGGCTCAAGCAAGCTTTGCAACAACATGCAAAAGGCCATTTTGGGGAGCTCACGGTGCAGCTGCACCACAGAGAAATGTCCATACTCACATCCAGCTCAAAGGTTTGCAGCACCGTCCGGTACCCCCCGGAGATGGGGGTGAAGAGCCGAAGAACCTCCTTGATGACGCAGTCCAGGTAGTGGAGGCTGTTGATGTTATCGAGCCGGAGGGACCCCTCACAGATGCAGCCGTTGTGGAGGATGCCCTTGCTGCGCAGCTCTTCCCGCAGCTTCTCTAGGACTCGGGGGTGTTTGAGCAGCTGCATGATCAGAGAGGTGCTGGCGCTGGCGGTGGTGGCGTAGGCGGCGAAGATGAGCTCCAGGGTGCCATCCTGAAAGACAAGAGCAAAGTCAGGGTAAGACACAGGAGATGGATGGACAGACAGACAGGCCAGAAGCCCTGTCACATCAAAGGACAGACATGCAGGCTGCCACGGGGAATTATTATTATCATTATTATCAGCTTTCCAGCCCGGTCACATCTAACTGCAAGGCCTCTCCTTGTGCAAGCCCAGGTCTTGGACACCTGCCACAAGGATCTTCCTGCAGAGCTGTGGAGGATGCTGAGGACCAGACAGGCAGGAGAAAAAAACCATGGGGATGGCTCTTGGTAGCACATGAAGGACAGGTTATGCCATGGCCTTGCTGCAGACAATGGCCTCTCAAGGCTTATAAACCCTGCAAAGCAGGCACCATAAAACTGTATGGGCCAAGGGATGAAGCTGGTCAAGGCTGAAAGCTTTAGCCGACTTGTTCAATCTTTTGGTATTCAGTGGAAATGCTTTTTAGAAAAGGTTGAGCATGACCTGCAAATAAATACGGCCCATAGGAAAGGAGTGGCTTGTTGGCACCATAATCCACCAGACCAGGATTCCCCTGCAGCTCTGACACCACATCGTCGTCCCCCCAGCAGTCACTGATCATCTCAGGTCTGCCCCAAAAACCCTCCTTACAGCAGCTCACACTTCACCCTTTGGGAAGCCCCTGCCCTGAGCACAGCAAGGACAAGTCGACCATGGGGAAGATCTTTACCTTCAGCTCCTGCATGGTTAGCTCCTTGCCATGCTCTTTGCCGCTCTCTATCAGGATGTCCAGCGCATCGGCGTAGTCCTTACCCTGCGTGTTCTGCAGTTTCTCCTGGATGGCTTTCTCCAGCCCCTTCTGCAGTGTCTCACGTGCCCGGATGCCCTGTGGAGCAGGAAGCCCATCAGATCACGCAGGACACAACACTTGCACCACCATCCCCACCCCAGCATCCCCAGGAGCTGGAGACGTGCTCAGGACACGTATAAGTAATATAACTGCAATTGCAGATGCTCAAAGATGCTGAAGTTGTTCCCTGGGCAGGAGGAGAAAGCCCCGAGTGGGTGAGATTACAGGCAAGAGTAATCATCACCTACGTGCAAATGATAGGCCTGATGTGGGAGCCCCAGTACTGCACCAGTTCACAGGCCTCTGGCTCACCCTGGGATGTATGGCAGCCCCTGGGAAAATTGTCTCTCAAAGGAAAGTCAATTCATCCAAAAGGATCCTCTTCCCAGGAGCATAATGGGCTTCCCGAGCAATTTTATCACCTGGTCTCAGTAAAACAATTCCTATCTGAGTGCAGCTGCACCGGGCTATCCTGCTGCTGCAAATGCTTTGGGGCTGCAAAGGGTTGGGTTTATTCATGTGGTCAAGTAACAATAAAATTTGCAGTGACAATCACAAAAATAAATTTTAAAACACCATATTTCTGTCACTGAGATTCCCCATAAAAAATGCGAATTTTTGTCTATGGTTTTTGTTATGTTTTCATTTTGCATCATTCATCAAAAAAATAGAATAGTTTTTCAAATGAGAAGGTCCATTGACCTGTTTTGCCCTGGGGACAGGACAGAATTAACAGGAGAACGGCCCCACAAACAAACAAACAAACAAAAAACCCAGGAAAACTTGCAGTTACAAGTAAGGAAAAATGACACATTAAATCTGGGCAAGTCACAGAAGCACAGAATGGTTTGGGTGGGAACGGACCTTAGAGCCCCCCAAACCCCCCCCCCTGCCATGGCCAGGGACACCTTCTACTAGACCAGGTTGTTCCAAGCCTCATCCAGCCTGGCCTTGGACACTTCCAGGGATGGAGCAGTCCTGACCGTATTCTCCCTTGCATCAAACCACACAGTCCCCAGCACTCTAAAAGCCTACGAATGGCTCTTCTCCACTAAAACAGGACTTTGTAGCCCAAAATAAACTCATTTCTAGAGGTCAGAGGGTAATAAGACATACCACTGAGAACTTGAGAGGTGGGAATTAGCTGCCACCCCGTTGATCACAGATTATCAGATTGTCAGATGGTGGAGGACTCAGCCCAAGTCTCTTACCCTCCTGTAGCCGCTGAAGGGCAGATCCACGGGCAAGGAGAAGACATTCTCCACGAACTGCTGGTAGACCTCAAAGAGGCGGCTGAGTTCCTCATCAGGGATGCGGAAGCCCAGCAGGACACGAATGGCCATGCGGAAGGTGAGCTTCTGGGTCTCGTGGTAGACGTTGATGGACTCGGGGTTGCTGCTCCAGGCCCGAAGGGTGTCTTTGATGACCAGCTGGATCTTGGGCAGATAGCTCTCCAGTGCCTCATGGCTGAAAATTTTGGAGAAAACCTGCAAAAGAGAGCAAGGAGAGATTTCTACACAGCCCCAACACCCTACGCTTTGCCTTTTCTAGTAACCAGCTCCTGCCCACAAAAGTGGGCATCACAGGTCTCCTGTGCCAAGCAGAAGATTCACCATCATCCCGAACCACTGATTCCTGAAATAGCTGCCAAAAAGGGTCGATGGAGAAATATCTGCTGACAGATCCCCACCACAACCATCACAAATGATGGGTAGTAACATGGAGCAAACCAGGGACGGGAGAGAACACTTCACCCGCGCTCAGTGGGACGGACGGAGCCAGTTTTCCCAGAGCTCCATGTCTCATGCCTCCCAGTTACACTCATCCCATGATTTGGATGCTATTAACACATCTCTTCCCACAGAGATTCTCTACTGTCTAACATTATGGTTGTGCACGCACGCAGACACACACAGGCTTTTCTCCCAATGGGAAGCACCGGCAGTTTCTCCCATCTATCAGTGTCCCTTTTTTAACATATGTAAAATATTAAATAAAATAATTATTTTGAGGCATTTAGGATCTCTGTGAAAGCTGGCTGAACTTAGACAGGGGTTCAAGTGGGGAAGGCAGGCACACACGTACGCAGAGGCTGCAATCGCACACGGCTCATTTCCTTGGGAAACCGGGAAGAAAAAAAACCTTGATGTCAGCAGACAGTATTAATTTAAGCTCTGCGAGTAAACACTGCGCAGGAGTGGGCCTCCCCAGGTCCCCGATGCTAAGGGCTCCTTACTCCAATTTGGGCCAGGGCCCGCGAGTTGCACGAGGAGCTCAGCAATGCCAGGAATGTCCCTTCAGCCCTCCCCGGAGCAGCCCACAGCACACGCTTTCATTCGGCATCCCCGCCGCATCCCTCCCAGAGTGCACTGGAGGAAAAAGTGCTGTTTGTTTATTTTTTATTAACCTACACACACACGGGGCAGCACGCACACACGCATCGCCACATGCCAGGCCTCCGGGAAAATCAAATTAAAACAGGCTCCCAAGGAGAGAGCTGCAAGCCTGCGTGGCCTCCACCGGTGGCCGGTTCCCCGGGGGGAGCTCAATGCATGGTGGGGGGGCTGCAAAGTTATCAAACCAACAAGAGGAGAGAATCAAAGCCATCCCCTCTTTCCATGAGCACCGGACTCGCTGGAGCTGTAAATGTGAGAATTTCCTCCACAGTCAGCACTCAAAGGGAAAGGTAATATTTTCCTGGCTGCGACCCCTCATTGCTAATGCACATCATTCACGGGGAGTTTGTTTGGTGAAATAACACCTCTGTCCCCTCACAGCCCCAGGCAGGAGGTTTGACAAGAGCTGCTTCATAACGCGCCACTCGTGGGCTGAGACCTGAGTAAAACTCATCACACGATACACGGTGAGGTAGAGCTCAAAGGCTCCCCATGGAAATACCAGCATGCAAACGGGATGGTTGGAGGGATGGGAAAGAAAATGCAAGCCGATCAACTGACAGATCTGCCTGCAGACAGACAGCCCTCCCCAGATGGCTACGCAGAGGGGAAGCATGAATGAACGGAGCGTAGGAATGAATGAACAGCGGGGCAGCGAGATCACGGCGAGGGTGCGAGACGGTGCGGCGGCTGCTTTCTGCCGCCTCTCTGCATTTCACACGCTGTTTTTAAGCCTGGAAAGGGCAGCGATGCCCTTTCCTGCCCAGAAAGACCTGCCCGGGTGAGAGGCTGAAAAAGCAGCCGCTCGGAAAGGAAAAGCTGGAGGTGCTAAAGCTGAGCCCCTCGGCTACCTAGGCAAGGTATGAAGGGAGCTAGGAAAGGGACTCCAGTGTCTCCCCATCCAGCTGGCATGTGTCCTTCATCCCCATTGCAGGGTTTGGGATAAGGACAGAGGCCCCCCGTGAACCTACCCACTCTCCCCAAACGCTTCCTGTGACTCAGTTTCTCCAGCTGAAAGCAGAGCTGGCGAGGGGACAGCCCCTGCTTTAAGGAGCATCAAGGCTGCAGCCCTGCTTGGAGCCACCAATCCCGATGGAGGAGGCCCCTGGGCTCCCAACCTGGGGCAAATCCTGTCCTCCCCCAGCTCTGCCCAGCATCTCCCACCAGCAAGAGGCTTGGGGACCCCCCTGCACTCCGCAAAAAGCACAGCAGCCCAAGAAACGCCACCGCTCTCGCTATGCAAAACTGTTGCGGTGGTGCAGAGAACCAGCCCCGGGGCCGGATCCACATGCCACGGACCAAGCCAGACCCTGAAGAGGAGAGTGCCCATCCCAAGGAGCAATGCTCAGAGAAGGCGCAGAAGGCTCAGGAAGAGCAGACGGAGCCTCTGCGGAGGCCAACGCACCACCTGTCCAGACTGAAAAAGAGGGAGCGTTTAGCACTGGGGAACTGGGGGTGCTTTTTTTCCGCGTTTTTTCCTCGTTTTTTGAGCTGACCTTCTGCTATCAGGCTCCTCCAGCCCCAGTTGGCTGCACCCCACGTCTGCAGC